CACACACACACACAGACGAGTATACGTGTATTAACTAGACTTTTTTATATCTATCTATATCTTAAATTTTTCCCGCAATTTGTATATGTATATCATATAGAGAAAAGCTGGTCAGTCTTCTTGAGTTACTGTTAACTTGAGGCTTTTGCAAAAATGAGTCCCAGCTCTGACGATGTTCGCCACATGACGGACGAAAGCTCAACGTTGGAGGACTACATCAACCTGAACGTCAGATTAAGGCCAAACGGCAGCAGTACAATTCGAATCAGCCGACATCTTCTGGTGAGATTTACTTACAATTCTCTTCATCATGTGCTTATATACGAAATAAAATTCCTTGCTCAGAAAATTCGTCAAAACTGGCATTTTATTTGCGAAATTAGCCTGCAAATCAGTACTCGTGTTTTTATACTTGTTGTTTTTATTGGAACGTATTTTATTAGCATCATCTACCAATCTGGTGTCCGGTGGTGAGTAGTATAATTCGATTGGAAGTAGTATTTTGTATAATTGAATATATGAAGACCAAGATGTTGTGGCATCTATTATGGTCGCAGTCTCCTTACGATTTATATAAGTGGGTTGACCTCATTGTCGCAACTTGGTCTTGTTGTCAAGGAGAATATGCAGAACGCATCTAGTCCGAAGTCGTCTGCCAAAGTAGTTGTCATGATTCCCAGCATCTGACAGTGGACTTGGTACATTCTCAAGCGTTTCGCAGACGACTCCGGACTAGGTGCATTCTACATAGTCGCCCTGACAACAAGCCCAAGTTGCGACAACGAGGTCAACCCATTTCAACATTTTGTATATTTCATTATAAATAAAAATCTGCAAGGCTACAATAAACCCGGCATAATTGCTTTTTGTTAGGAGTTTGTAGTCCCCCAATTGGAATCATCATAAACCCCACTTAAATTAGTCTTGAAGGCCCGCTGAATGATGAAATGATAAATGTTTGTTCTGCCTCTCCGCAACAAAGCAATTACCTGTTTGATTTCTAAATAATCAGGTAAAACTAAATATTTCCAGTACTCCCCATTATCAACTGGCCCTCAAAATACGTTTTAATTAAGGCTTGTTTTTAGTTGCCTACCTTGTTGGCCAAGGATACGGGCTCGCCTCAGTTGCTTCATCTGCCCCATAGGCTGACGACTAGTGAAGATGCCTTTCCGAAGGTGTTCCAAGCTTCCCGCCCTTCCACTTGCTTCTCCTTTCTTCCCATTGTCATCGTAGTTAAGTGGTCCGGGGACGGAGACTTCAGCCGTCGCACTAGTCTGTTGATTTATAGTGGTCGGTGGGCTAGTGGTTGCCAAGGGGGCATCAAAAAGCATGCGGTCAATCTCCTCGAACATCTGATAAACACGTCGCGATTCTTGATGATCGAATTCCTGCACAATGTATCAAGTGGATTATATTTGCCAGAGTCAATGATTAAAAGATAAAACCCTATTAAATTAGAAACTAGATATATAAATATTTTTCCTAAAGTGACAAATTACTAAGTTGCTTGAACCTCGTTTATACAACTTGATGGAGCTACAAGAAAACCTTAAAGGACATACACATTACTGTGATCATTGAACATGTTTCCTTGCCACCTTACAATCTCAGACAGTTGATTGGGTACGTTTACACACGTTTTGCACCATCAATGAGCCTTATCTTACTAGGCAACGAGCCACGAACCAACTCCGTACAGCAAAAGGATACAACTACCAAGCTAAAATGTTACCTTATTTTTGCCTCTATATCTAAGAAATTCTTGTTAAAATCTAAAATATGGAGAAATTGCATAAAGTATTTTGCCAATTTCGCAGCATCAGGTGAACGCCAAAATGCAGGGCAGCGTTTCAAATGGAGGCTACTCAGTCCCATTTGTTTGCCGGACAGAGATAATGTTCAAGACAGGGCATACCGTTTAAAGACCGTAGGTTATATCTGCTCTCTTGACCAGCTGTCGATTAGCTTTACTGGAAGATTCATGCTGACGCTGTTTCCGAGGCAATCTCCTT